ACTTAAGGCGCTGCGGGTACTTCTTGTGTACCAATTCTGAAAGGTTGCTTTTCGAGAAAATAAGTTATACACCAAATGAAAACGTTGATAATAGCTCTTAAAAAAATATTTAAAAAAATCGCGCACATTTGATAACTCCGTAAAAAAACAATTCTTAGTCGGTTTTTCACGAACTTTCTACGGATATAACTAGGTTACCGTTGGAAGAATGAAGCTGATTTTTTTTACAGACTAATCATAGGTACAGCCAATGACTATGATAGTGGTTCTTTTTTAAATTTTTTCTCTAATTATAAGATATCTTATAATGTTAAGATAATAAGATAATCTTGTAATTAGAGAAAAAATTTAAAAACGAAACACCGTTAAGTCATTAGTAGTACCTATCATCAGTCTGTAAAAAAAATCAGCTTCATTCGTCCAACCGTAACCTAGTTATATCCGTACAAAGTTCGTGAAAAACCGACTAAGAATTGTTTTTTTACGGAGTTATCAAATGCGCGCGATTTTTTTAAATATTTTTTTAAGAGCTATTATCAACGTTTTCATTTGGTGTATAACTTATTTTTTCGAAAAACAACCTTTCAGAATTGGTACCGCAAGAAGTACCCGCAGCGCCTTAAGTCGTATGACCTGAGGCGGCAGACGATCGATTTTAGCATACTCTGATAGGGCAAAATGGAACTCCATCGGTTAAAATTTTGATCATTCTCGTTCAGTGGATTTCGTGTTAGCTCCCCTACTATAGCGGCCGCCTGAATTCAGAAGGGCGCGTTCTGTAAATTTGTAACAGAAAATAATACTAACAAATAAAAGGGGTAGGGAATCGCGCTGCACACAAAATATTGCAAAATAGCAATGCTAACGTCTGACACGGAGGCAAACGTATATTAAAACTGTAATTGATCCTTAATACGAATCAATAATTCGAATGACTTTGCACTAGCAAAAGCAAAATTTTAATCAACCACGGGTTATCCTTATAGTTCAGGTATAGCAATAAACGTAGGGTTACATAAAAAAAACGATGCAGAAATAACTAAATTTCTATTCAGTGCAATCTGATCAATTCAAAATGCAAACAAGTTAATATGAACTAATTTTTCCTCGAATTTTTCGGAGTAAATAAACAACGTTATCAAAAAAATTGTAGATATAGGTCTCTGACCAGGTATCGGTAACTGCAAAACTAATTCACAACGCAGCGGTAGCAAATAACACAACTAATCTGAAGGATACAATGTAATCAAGCTAACAGCAATAAATCTTCGTAGTAATCACAAAGTAACGTACGCAAATCGAGTCTCAATATCGGTAAAGTCAAATCTTCGGTAACGACAAAAATAACGTACGTAGTGCCAGGTGTAACGGAAAGATTGCGTTCGATTCTCGTGAAATTCTACTTAAAGTTTGGACATCACTAAAAATGTTAATAAAATGTTCCGTCCAGACGTCCCTTTTTGCCTTTGTGTGTACTCTCGTCCAACACTCTCCCAAGGTATGAGGAATTATAACCTGTCTCAAAAAGATGTTGGAGAGGAGGGCAGTAGGAATTAATTCCTGCTGGTGAGGCTTTTCATTAGAATACCAAGAAGGATAATATCAGTTTTGAGACTGTCACCATTACCTTCACATTGGAATGCACTTTCGATGGCATATTTTCCGAGTAGGTATAAACAAAAATTCACAGCAATCCTTTCCTCGTTCAAGTCACTCATTCTAAAATCCGCCAAACGAAAAAAAACACATTTCGCAAAAAACCGCGTAGCTAATCAACCAACAATCATATTTGCAATCAACAAACTGCTTTCTAATCAGCTGATCTGTACGAAGACGTTGACACCAAGCGGATTTCCCTGGAACCAACTGGGACTTCTTCTAGTGGTGTCATTGAATTTATTCTTTTTTCTTTACTAGAAGCATCTGTGGCTAAAATTTGAAAGAAATGTTTCCATAAATAAGACAGTTGGAATTGTTCACTCTGCGCCTGCGCACGTTTAATTTTACAATATGCGATATGTTTTCATTCGCCAGAAGCAAAGATCGTGTAGTATGATTTTTGCTAGAAGCAACTGTGAAGAATTTTTTCTGAATTTTTGAGTGTACGTAATTTTGTAGCTATTTTTCTCTCGGATTTCCGACACTTCCAAACATCTGCACCGTGTCTTGTGCAAATCAGATTTCCATTTTTTTCAAAATATCCCAAACATTTCCAATACATAATATTTCTCCTATATTCAGAATAGTTATATTCAGTAAACTTTTGAGATTGTTCTTCCTTATTTTCTGTTGTATTATTAATTTAACCATTATTAACGAGCCACTCGTTCCTGATTTTGCCTGTTCGTTCGTCCGTCCATCCGTCTGTGTACATGATAACTCGTGAACGGTTTCGAATTTTCCAATTCTGTTTTCAGTAATAGGTGGACAATGATCAAGGGACTAACTTATTAAATTTTGGTTAATACTCGTCAACCGGAAGTGACCTTGCCGCTCGTTGTCTATATGGGTTTAGTTTATTATGCTTTGAGTTTGTTGTAGGTCGTTCATAATTTTCGTTTGCTCGAATAATTCAAGCAATATTTGGATCAATTTGACGGCTGCAAATCTTGTCACAATTGCATTTCACGAACAATTAAGTAACAATAATTGATCACCTTCAACGCCAGGCGTTAATTACTCCATATCTGACATGGTTTTTAACTTGAAACAAAGATAAACGAATTTATTTGTATTTGCATATTTATCTAAACAATAGTAATACAAAATAGTTAACAGTTTAGCGTTAACTACGAAATTGACGTACTAACAGTTCTATTGATCTTCCAATTTATATGTCGGAACAACCATTTATTTCGCGCTAGACTGATTTTGCCTAAGTCTTGGAGTGGTTATTTTTGAATTTAGCATTTACCTAAACGAATTCAGATCCTGATGATACTTCCTTTCGCTTTTTACTTGTACTAATCAGATCATATTCATTAAGGTTGTAGCGAGGGGTCTCTCACTGCCCGCAATATGTGTACACATTTTGTTTTTGCACTGTGCAGTGTCTAGCAGTGTTCTGCAGTGTTTTGCAGTGTGCCACAATGCGTCACAGTGTGCCACAGTGCGTCACAGTGTGCCACAGTGTGTCACAGTGTGCCACAGTGCGTCACAATGCGCCACAGTGCATGGCAGTGTCCCATATTTCCGTCCACAGTGTCCTTCCGAATGCCGCAGTGTAACGCCATAAATTTATTTTATGATTGTGCGCAATGTGCTGATTTTTGCGTAATCAACCGTTATCGACGTGTTTATTCTTGCGATTGCGATAGTGATCCTAGAGATCGCTTATAATTTTGTATTGCTGTATGTCTGTCTTCGTGTCTGTCCGTGCGCACGACAACTTTGTTTAGAAACGCCCGATCGCTTTGAAAATTGGTACACATATATTCTTAAGGATATAAGAGAGGTCGCCATTGTTACAAAGAAGATATGAATGTCTGGTTTTTTGTCGGTAACCCTTTACATCTGGAATATATTAACAGAGATTAACTATTTATTTTAAACTGGTTTTATATAAACAATAAATTGATCAATTTCTTGTTCAAGTCGCTTTGACAAGAAAACTTGCCGAGTGTAAACACAGAATTGGATGAAATAACTTGATCAATTTCTTGAGCTCAATTTCTATTTTTCTGACAATTTCAACTGACAAAATAATGACTGATGCTGATATAAAAAAAGAAGAAACATGTAAAAAGGTTTTCGTCGTAAGGCACGTGACTTTAGCGCATTTTACATGCACCTGCACGTACCAGTACTCCCGAAAAGCCCGTAGCTATCTCTTTATGTTTCTACTTGCGAGAAGTATGTATGGTTAAAATTTCAAAGAAATGTCTCCATAGATAAGGAAGTTGGCATTGCGCAATCTGATTTTTGCAATAATATGCGATAGATACCATTACTAGCAGCATCTGTGGTTAAAAATTCAAACAAGTAAAAAGCATCTATGGTTAAAATTTCAAAGACATATTTTTATAAATATGGCAGTTGGTACTGCGCATGCGCACATCCAATGTTTACAATATGACATATGTTGCCTTTAAGAGAAGCAGCTGTGATCAAAATTTCAAGAAGATACATACCTCGATAAATAAGGCAGTTGATATTGCGCATCCTGCGCATGCACTAATTATTAATCTGATGTTTACAATATGCGATACGTTTGCTTTTACTAAAATCATTTTTGACGTGCTACTTCAATTTCACAAGAATCCTGCCCTAAGATTTTAGAAGGATTGGTTCACAAATAACGAATGTGGGGCTGGGCATTCGCAATACGTGTTTTTAGTCGCATCGGGTTACGCATGAGCAAAACACATTTGTTTTATTTGGCTTTAGTTTTACCTTTATTCGAGGTGCCTAGGTACATACAACATTTAATTTTAAGTATTTTAATAAATATTCTTGCGCAAATGCAAAAGTTATCGAGCACAACTGCACACAGAAAGACAGACAGACGGGCGGAGAGAGACAGACAGTTCAAAATTATAGACGATCTGGAGCATCGTTAATAAACGAAAAAACTGTAAAATTATGGTAGGTACATGAAAAAAATTGAGGTTTTACAATAATTTTTTTCGTAAGCGACGCAGAAAAAATTCCTTCCTTGGTGCCTGCCTCGACACCATAACGAACTAAATAGTAAATAGTGGAAAAACTAGAACAATAGCTCTTAAGATAAAAAACTAGTAGCGATCGAACGCCGGTAAGAACGGACAGATAGGCGGATGGACGGACAGTGACCACAATAGCGCATTTTTTTAAATTTTTGTGTAAATGCGCTAAAAAGGTAAAATACAATACTGGAATATTAGTGTTTGAGTAGTCTTATTTTTTTATTATCTTTTCATTTCTTTTAACAGAAATACCAAAATATGCAATGCATCACAGTGCCCCGCAATGCATCGCAGTGCCTTGCAGTGTTCTCATTTTTAAAAACACTGCGGAGACTTATCCCGTTTTAGAAGATAGTTTACAGCAAGTTCGAGAGCTTCATGAGAGTGTTCAACGTATGAGAGATGCCACTGTACAAAGTCAGACCGCCGGTAAATTCCCAAAATGCTAACTGTGATTATTTTCATTTTGTAGATAGTTCATATGCTCCTTCGTCTAAGGACTTTGCGGCATTTGCATTAAATCCTTTATTAGCTCAGGTAGCAAGATTAAGTGCTAGTTGTCCCGCTTTAAACGAGCAAGTTCCAGAACTTGATATAGTAGGAGGTTCCTTAGGTTCGTCGCCCATTCACCAACCGCCCAGTAGGAAAGGAAGCGGTAATTTCATTTGCATTTTTGAAGTTGATTTATCTGGCCATTGTATTACAGGTGCACAAGACTGGTTGCTCGGACGTACTTTGGAGCCAGATCCGCAAAGACGAAAATCATGGACAGCTTTGGAGGATCTATCGGGAACCAAAGAAAAAATAAAAACGCGCCAACGCAGGTAAGCTTTGAAAGCTCACCAACAATCTCATTTGCTGTGTTAGTATTTCATTGAGCAGCATGGAATCGGAAGCGGACGAATCTTCGTTATTGGACAATGTAGACGGAAGTCCGGCAAGGTTACTGGGAACCGAATCGTCAGCAATTGTAGGACGTCGTACACATCGAGGTTCAGGTGGAGGTGCAAGCACACACTCCCTCAACGAAGCTGATTTACAGGTTTGTGAGCAGTTCATTCGTAATCTGTACTCTCAAACAATTATCCTTAGAACGATTTCAATAAAATTAAAGCCAAAAGAGAGGCGGAACAGCTCCGGTTATTACCTGCGAGATTACCATTACAAAAATCGATATCAACACCATCAATTATTGCTGTTCGTGATTTAGCACCTGAACCTATCTTGGTAGGCGCGCAACCGACGTTACCTGTGTAAGTTTTAACATCGTCCACTCGGTATAATAACGTTTTTAGCTTGTTTTTATATATTTTTAATCATAAATTATGGGCTAAAGTTTTGTGTATTTTTGCATGGTTAAATTTAACAATTCCCTTTATTGATATTATACACTTTGCGCATGCCCAGTGAATTTGAAATACAAACTTTCCATTTTTATCTATTACCTTTTAATGCCCTTGATTGATACTGTGGAATATCACGAATATTGTTACTTAAAATTTATTATGTCCACATGTTGCCGAACTAATCATCTCTTGAACTAGGACAACATACAAACCATGTTATGTATTGTAATTATTTAAATATACAGGGTGTTACATATAAGTGTGTTGACAAAATTGGATGGTCTAGAAATCCAAAACATTTCTCCTAAATAATTCAACAGTTCCACCGCTTTTTCAAAGCAATTAACTATTATTATATGTAGAGGAATGCCAGTAATGGTTGCTGGTATGCCATTTTCAATATTACACACTCAAAATCCAATAACTATGTTGGTTTTTACATTCTTATATGTTACACAGAGTATATTCATAATTAAGAATTCTTGGGAGGTACCTATTTTCATTTTTGACTCGACTGATAAATGGAAATGCACATTAAAACAAATTCAGAATTGCATATACAGGATGTACACGACGAATGCCGTATCCTGAAAAAGAGACCTCTGAATATTTTAAGAGTCTGAAGCAGGGTCTGAAGGTATACTAATGTCAATAATAGGAATTTGTCTAAAATATTTTCAAGTTGGTGGCACTTCTGGTTATAGGTACCGGAAGTATATATGAAGTTGCTCATTTTAAATTGAATTCCCTATGTATATTGTTTTTAGATTGAACTCCGTGTATGTCCTATATTGAAATTTAGCTGATTTTGCAATATTCCTGGAAGGTGGAAAATTTGTCCCATAGTAATTTTCGCACGAAGAGGGCGTTGGGCGTGGGTGCACCATCCTATTGAAACCAACAGTTTCCAACTTTTGTTTTTTCTTTGTGTGCCGTACATCGTTGTATTCCTAATAAAAATGCTACTCAATACAGTATGTACTTTTTTTACAGGTCATATAAAAAGATAAAGTTAATGATGATTTCTCCGAAACGAAATGTTGAATTGAAAATTCTTTAACGGTGTCTTGTAGAGCTCAAAAAGTCACAATGAGAAAGTGGTTTTTTTATTTTTTTTGTATCTGTTCAAATAACAGAAAAAAATGATAACGAAATCGGCAAATTTCTGAGATCCCCAACTTCTGGTATAATCAAGAAGTGCCACTAATTTAGATGAATTTTCCTTAGTGACATTAGTATACTCTCATATTTTCAAAATATTCCAAGGTTGACAGATAGCAGGGATTTGTCGTGGGACATCAGGTATTGTCATAAGTTATGGACAACATTTGATGTAGTACAGTACCATTTTTTGGAACAAGTTTTATGTTCAGTCTTCTTCCTGCCGATATAATTAGATAAACTAAAAATTGAATTGGTTACATCATTCTGTGTTAATTTTTGTTGTAAATGCAATGTTTCTACTAGTGAACAAGGAAGAGTGGCTACAAGTGCCCACTGTCCCCCCTGCTATCTAATTTTTGTATTTGCAAGAAGTTATTGGCAGATCATGTGAAGAAGAACTTCATTTTCTTCTCTTACCGCCTGCACAAATGTCATGTATTATTTTTTGCCATGCTATTATAGACAAGCAATACATTTTCTTCCTAACTGCCATAGTTTTTTTGTCAAAAAAAAAACGCCAAATGCAGGGTTTTTGATAATTACATACATGGTACAATACATGGATTGTTTCTAGTATAAAGTTGAACCAATGCGAAATCTGGCTCTCTGCATAAGAAATTGTTTTTCTGTTTCTAAAGATTTCAGGCAGTGTTGCTTGATTTCAATTAAATCTCGTTACAAAATGGAGCCCCGTTGCTAAGCTTTTGGGTGTTGTCTCTAGGTTTGAATTGTATTGCATTGTTCCTATATTCCTATAAAGAAACATTTCAATTATTTGATTTTTAATAACGTGTATCTTATGAAAAAGTGCAAAATTATGTGCTAATTCAATTTCAGTTCATCTGAAACTGTATGTCCAACATGTGCAGTATAAATTCAATATAAATTCAGAAAAATCAGAATAGACCCTAACAGTGAAGAGCCAGTGACGACATTTCAGTTGGGGACGGACAGACCATATGGGAGGGAGGCTGAAGAACACTTTGAACTTAAAAACAAAACTGCTTACAAGTATTATTTAGTTGCAATTTCGTTCGTTGTTCATTGGGTAGTAATCACTATACAGGGTGTTTCTAAATATGATGTAAATATAGAAGGAAATGATTCTTTGGCTTATTTTATGACTAAAAGTTCATATAAACGTATGTCCGCAAAACTTCGATACTGATCTACAGAGTGTTATAGTCTTACAATCTAAACCTTTAATTTTTAAACATTTTCAAGGCATAAGTCTGTCCTCTCTTTTGTATAGTCCCGCCAACATCCTCACAACAAATAGGCAACATACTGAAAAATTGTTACTGGCTCTTAGACTATGATTTATAGCAAACCTGACCCACACAAACGTCTTATAAGTTATATCCTTGCTGTAAATTTTAAATTCATTATGAACATGCTGTATATTACAATAAACATTATTTTATTGACAAATGAGATAACTAGATAAGTATTGCAAACATAATTTAATGTTAAAAAATTATCATACGATTATGTTGCTTAATAATTAAATTATTAGAAGCAATGTAGTGCATGTGCTTAGCTTGGTGTGTAGGGGCCGTCCAAGTGGTACCGAGAGCGAAACAGAGGAAGAGGGAAGTCGTACTGGATTGGCACATTTTGATCCACACTCCATTGCACATTTGCACCAGTAAGTACCAGCACGCATGTGTTAGCAGCCCTTCAATGCACATTCTGTACACTTTTCTTTAAAAAATTCAAAGTTGTCATTTTTTTTACAAGAATCCACCACGTTAGAATTTCTCTCCTTTGCACCGTTTTATTAGCCTCACCTGTATGGAAACGTTACAGGGCGGTGTGTAAAATTATTTGGTTTTAGTGTTCCTTTCGACCACCATTCTGAGAAAAGGCGGAAACGTGGAAGTCTGTTCTTTCGGAAAAGGAAGGTACTAAAAAGTCAGTGACAGAAAGTCAGGTTGTTAACGTTCCTTTGTAGGATAAAACTAAAAAGCTGATTTCTCATCAGTGGGTATCTCCAAGTTGCGGGGCTTCACAGTTGTGCGATTGGTGCTTGAAACCCTTAAGCAATAAACCAGCTTTATGTTGTGAAAGTTAGTTCACTAGTGTGTGCCACTAAGATTTAAATAAACTAATCGATATTTCAGGTTGTGGAACTACAGTCCACCAAAATACCTGTAAGGATCATATAGTCGAGTGCAATAAACCCAAGGGTTCCAAGGTTTGCCTTTTACAACAGTAGTGCAATTTATTAACGTGTCTTGTGCAGAATCCCACAAAGCTTTCCGGATTTGGAGGTCCCTTAACTAGTTCTAAAAGTGCTGTTAATAAAAGGGGTTCGGGGTCGATGCCGGGACATAATCAAAATAGTTCGTCTAATAAGTAAGTACCTACGACCAGAAAAGTAGATCATAGAATTAGAGTGCCTGTATGTGACTTTAGAGAATGTGTTTCATGTCTCGTAGAGATCCGATGACATAATTGAACGTAACATTTTATTTTTGTTGTAAATGAAATACAATAAGTACGACGTTTTTTTAGTTTAGCGGTTGCGGTTGTTTTGTGTATAACTTCAATTAGGCAATTGTAATCGTAATTACCCATTAAGCATGTATGTTCTATTATCTGGTTTATATAAACTGTGTTGGATCCTGCATAGACTTTCTTAGAAGGTTTTTTGAATGGGAGTTAAAATCACTCGTGCCGTTTGGTTCACGAATTAATTAGTTTAGGTTGTAGAGCGATGGGGATTTTTAAATCTACTTTTGAGTTACCTATTTATTTCGAATTGAGATATTTAAACATTTTTTCTAGTTGAATTATGTATGAGCATAAGGCATAAGATATTATAAAGAAGAAAAATTATTAATGCATGGAGTGGAAAGGCGTGTGAAATTAGACGGTATAAGAATTGTAGTCTACACGTCAAATGGTGTGTCTTCATGCCTCAAAAACACAAGTTACTACAACATAGTCACAATAATCCATCATTTTAACTGTTTTCTTATTTGATCAATCTCTTATCTCTTACAATTTTTTGCATTGGCATTTGGAGCTCCTATTTTAATTTTATTTTCTAATTTTTAACACTATTTTAGCAAAATTACCCTCATACATATAAGAGGTTTGTTCTGTGCAAAATATTATCCAGTTATTCTGTATTGGCCCCTTGCAAGATATTGCGTTCTATTTGGTTATCTTCCTGCTGTACTGGTGTGCCTATCAGCACAACGTTGCCAATTTGTCAGATTGATCTCAGCGTATGGTGGGGAACTTTTAGGGGATATTATGCTATAATACATTCCTCTCCATTGGGCGAGTAGGTCGAGGTTGGTATTTTGAGCTTTTTTTCACTTCCTGTCACTGACCCCATGGTAGTCTCTGTAGAAGTGCCAATTCTCCAAACAAACATGAAGGTATCAAGCAGAGATTTTATTCACTATTGGCAAAATTGTACATACATGATTTTGGTATGAAAGCGGTTCTGCCGTCTTGACAGGGCATGTTTTCACCAATTCTGCAACTAAGGGACTCTTCTTAAGGCTTTGATACCCCTAAACTGCTTGGTTTTTGTAGTCTTCTCACTTTATTTTTTACTGGAATTTAAAATCCGAATATCTTGCAATTTCTATACACGAATAAAATCTTAGTGAATAGGAATTATTTGTTACATGATTTCTTTTTATTCTTTTTTAGCATTCTAGCTCTTGTTCATTGCTTTACATAGCCTTTTGTGTCGCTACCAGAGGCCTCAGACGTCTTCCTAGGCTATCAGGATTTTCTGCACGCTTTTCAGAGCATTCAAGTCTCACCTAATTCTGAAAAGTGTACAAGGCTCTCAAGAGCTCTTCAAAAGATGGTAACTACCAATTACGGGTGAAGGTCATGTGCTGCGTTCCCGGAATCTGCAATCCAAACATAGGGTGAATCCACAAATTTGACGATATCCGATTGGCTAACAAACGTAGACTTTTCTTGACTCTTCTTAGACTTGCCACATTTGTAACATTTTGGGACACCGCCCTTTACTGGTAAAATAAGCAGCATCCTCAGTAGAACTATTTGAGAAGCTTCTATCATTCAGAGTCTGCTCAACAACATACAACCTCTCCCTCAGATTATAAATCATTCGATTTTCCTTGGATATTGACTCCCAAGCATTAGTAAATTCATGGTATTCGGCAGGCATTGTGTTCAAAACCTGATTCAGGAGCAGTGATTTTACTTTATTCTCCTTCCAAGTCTCATCTTGAATTTCTGTCCATAGTTTCTAAAGTTTAGCAATGTGTTTTGGAATCGAATTCGCAGATTCCTTTTCTCTTATACTACAAAACTGTTTGAATAGGCGATCTTTCCTTTGCTCTGATCTCTGCTCATAAACTGAACGCAAGTCCCACATTTTTCTAGTCATACACATATTTATCAATTGTCTTATCTGAGACAAACTCAAGACAATAATATTCTGAGCTATAAATTCAATTTTTTTGAGGGCTTTCTTCTCTTTGTCAAATGATCTGCTAACCTTGGACCTTGCATCTGTAGTCAGTTCTTTAGATTGCGTTTCCTTACCTCACCTTCCACTATGACCATACAGCCATTTACATTCAACTGAATTTCGACTTGGAACTTCCAATCACCCAATTGGAATGTACCTCTAATTTATTTATCAAAACTCGTGAAGTTCTACTAAGACTACACACAGGTTGCCATCTAAAAGGATCTAATGGTGCCAAGGAAGGTCAAAGGGTTATAGCCTTATAAACTCAAATATACTTATTTCTGTGATAATAATTTGTTTAATAACGTTCAATACAAGTTAGTTTACATGATTGCTAATAATCTTGTTTTTTGAGGAAATTAGTATTGAGTCCCCCTTTAGTTAAAAGTGGTCATATAGGATTAAAAATGAGGAGCTTCATTGCGAACACACTCGTTTTTTTGCATGACATCACATAATGAAACAATTTTGCTAGCAATTTTGTTTAGTAATAGCAAAGAGTACCATACTCTTTGGTAATAGATATAGAAGTGGTAAAGCAAAGTTTAGCTGTTAATAGTCTTGTTGTTTGTTCGTGGTTGGCTATTTCACAAAATACTATTAGCTCAGTTTTACTTAGTTCTTGTTCCAATGATAAATAAGGTATGCATCTAAATAATGCGCAGGGGCGAATATTTCGCTCTCATTTGAATATCGAAAGAGTTCTAAACACAGTGGGGCAGCACTTCACACTGTTACATGAATTGACTACAAATGAATAATGGAGCATAGCTTCATCTACAGGGAAACATTAAAAAAAAACTGCTTGCAATAAGAATTAACTCCCATTACAAACCGTTAGTACCTAGGATGGTATTTTAAAATGATGTGTTTGTTTATAATTTTTTAGAATACCATGTCAAAAAAGTCGTTTACATCTCTTCACTGTTACATGTAACACAACTTTACGCCTGACTTGAAATTCCTTTGCTTTGCTTTCCATCTCTTCTGTAACCTCTGTTTGATGTTTGTGTTGCTCGCTTAATAGCGATAGTAGCCTTGGTTATGTTTTTGATCTACAAAACTGCGGTAGGTTTCTAGTGTCGTGTTCACTTCTCGTTTGCTATGATAATCGTTTTGTGTAGTACTATTTGTATGTTCAATAATCTGTTGACATTGTAATTAAGTAAGGAGATATTTATTGAATAAGGTGGACACGATACATATAAGAAGTGACCTTTGTATCTTATTCTGTTTTGGGAGATAAAAAATTCAAGGTATAAAGTGTATGTTTCGTAAGTATAAGATACAAAGGGAATGGGTTGCTAGAGGGTATGGCTAATCTGTTGCCTGTTCCCCGCCCATCCCCTAGGAGAAGCCAGCTGTGCTACTCGCCCTGGCGCAGGGTCGCCACCAAACTGGGAGTAAAGTAAGTCCCGGCCACCCCCTCACATCCCTAGCATACTTCACTCACCTTTCACATGCACACACACACTCTATCCTGTGTGTCTATCTGTCTGTCTGTTCTGCTCTTTTTAATCTGTGCTATTTGCTTCTTTCTCTTTAAATCATCTCTCTCATTATACATTTTACATCGGACAACTTGAATACATTTTCTATAATATGTTAATGTGAAAAAAAAGTTGTCTTTTCTCTCATGTATTTTTGCTTCTTGCCTGTGCATGTATTTTCTGTCTTTACTTCACACGCTATTTCGCTCACTACTGAAAATACATACAATTCAAATTTCAAGTTACTCATTGTTTTGTTGTTGTCTAGTATTTTTGGCCTACGCTTGGAATGACCAAGCTTATTATCACATAAACGCGTATTATTTAAAAAAAATTTATTCTATATCTATTGCAGCCAAATTCTTAGTGATGATAAGGAGGCTGATCTACACCATGGACATCATGACAATACAAAGTAAGTACCTACCTCTTGGCTACTTTCCAAGAGGAATTAATTTCACTCAGCGTTTCACAAACCGCATAAATATTTACCTGTTACGCGTTCAACTCTTCAGATGCAGTACGGCGCTTATGGGAAAATTGTGCGCTTGCCAAACCTATTGTTTAGGTTTAGATAAACTACATCGTTTCATAATACTGTTAATGCTGACTTCACTTTTTAGTGCAACAATGAAATTGGAAAGTGTATAGAATTAACTCAGTAATATCTATCTCGGTTACGTGACGCTAATAAGCTGAAATAAATTGAAAACGCACAAAGCTCAATCCCTTGTCTTCTACAGTAAATAAGTAAATTCAGAAAAAACAACGACGCGCCCAACTATTCGTCTATATACAAGTATAAAGTATAAAGTGATTTATTAGCATCTTGACATATATGGTATATGATAATGCAAGTCAAGTACAAGAATAGATACACAAAAGAAGATAGTACACACGGCTCAGTTTCCTTCACAGAGTTTGCAATTCGTAGAATTCATTTAGTGAATAGAGGGCTTGCCTATGTAAATATTTCTTAACTATATTTTTGAAAGAGTTGAAATTATTGATACTTTTAATTTTAGAGGGCAATGCATTGTACAACTTTTTGCAAGCATAAAACGGTGACTTCTCATAAAAAGTCGATTTGTGCAAATCTGTCCGTAGCAAGTCATTAAATCTTGTATTGTAATTATGATGTGAGTTATCGCTAAATTTTGTTATATTACGCTTTGCATACTTTAGACAGTTGTAGATATAAATTGAGTATATCGTCATAATTTTATGCTTTTCAAAAATCGTTCTACAAGATTCCCTTTTATTTAGGTTGAATATCAATCGCAAGATTCTCTTCTGAGCAATAAAGACCCTATTAATGGAGGTAGCTTGTCCCCATAACATGATATTATATGTTAAGTGCGAGTACGCTAGAGCATAATAGACATTCACTAGGCACGCCATATCAACCATATTTTTTATTTTATAAATTGCAAAGTAGCAACTGTTAAGTTTCGAAGTAACATGGTCAATATGCTGTTGCCACGAAAAAGAGCGATCGACACTAACTCCTAGGAACTTTACATTAGTTTCCAAATATAATTTGGATTTAGCCAGCCCTGAACTCAATATTGAATCCGGCAGTTTCTTTTTACTAAAATACAAACATTTTGTCTTAGCAATATTAAGAATCATACCATTGTCTGTACACCAAGACTTAAAAGCACACGTTACATACTCCACACGAGCTAAGAGTTCCCCAGTAGAAGGTGCCGCCACAACCATTGAAGTGTCATCAGCAAAGATTGTAATATTATTCGTTGTTATATAGTTTGGCATATCATTCATAAAAATAATGAATAATAAGGGCCCCATCACAGATCCCTGGGGAACACCCAGCTGAACAGGGTACTCTTCAGATAACTGATCTCTAACCCTAACAACTAACCTCCTGTGATCCAAGTAGTTGCAGATTACATTTAAGGTAGCTCCGCGAATGCCCAAAGCTGATAATTTGTCTTTTAGAAATCTGGGGCTGACAGTATCAAACGCTCTCTGTAGATCAAAAAACAATCCTATAACTAGGTTACCGGCGTTCAGTTCATTGTAAACGGCTTGCATAAAATGCGTAGTTGCATCTTCAGTTGAAAAATGAGGGCGAAAACCAAATTGGCAGTCAGTGAGTAATTTATATTTCGACAAAAAATTTCGAATTCTAAACACAATTATTTTTTCTAATAATTTTGAGAGGGTACTTAAGAGGCTAATTGGCCTATAATTTTCAACATTTGCTTTATCTCCTTTTTTAAATAAGGGAATGACGATAGCCAACTTGAGGGCATTTGGAAAGCAACCAGTATTTATTGCCAAATTAAAGACGAAGCTTAACGGATGTGCTACTGTGGTTGCAATATGCTTCAGAATTTTAGTCGAGATCTTATCAGAGCCCATCGAATTTGACATTTTAAGATTGTTAATGTAATGTACTATTTCCTCCGGCGAGATAGGATCGAATACTATAGAATTTTGGACATGGATACCTGTCGTGCACTTTGCGGATGGCGTTTGAAAATGTTGGTTAAGTTTATTTTTGGCAACGTTTGCAAAAAACTTTCCAATGAAATCAGCAACCGTTTTCGGGTGACTAATTTCCTCTCCTTTAATATCAAGACAGATTTCATTAGTGGTGTTTTTCTTATTACGATTTAATTGAGAGTTTACAATACTCCAAACTTTTTTGGTCGTATTGTTAGCTGACTCTATTTGTTTCGAAAAATAGCGTTTTTTATACCAACTAATTTTGTGGTTGAATTCTTTTTTGCGCTTTTTGTAAACAGCATAGCAGTTAGGGTCATTTAACTGTTTAGCCACCCAATACAGATTATTTAGTTTATCACTCTCAAGTTTTAATGTTTCACAAAACCATGGGTTTTTATTGTTTGTGGGCTTTATTTGTTGAAACAAAGGAACAGAATTTGTTAATATTCGTCTGTAAAATATGTATAAATGACTCCAATGCTTCATCTGCATTGGAGTGACTATACAGTTTATTTCAAGTTTCTTCTATTAAGTGGTTTTTTACAATATTTAATTTCTTTTGAGAAAAGTGTTGTTTGGACTTTGGACTGTTTTGCTTATCTCTCGAGGTATTTACATTGAACTCGATTATTTGGGCTAAATGATCGGCAATGTTCGGGTTAACATTTTTAACCTTATAGGAAGTAAGATTTGTCACTATATAATCAATAGCCGGGTGGTCATCATAAGGCGGGTAAACTTTAAGGCTGGAAACGGGTGCTTCGTTACAGTTTTAGTATAAAAAGAAGGCTGTGTTGATAGTGTAACGGGTTACAATTTTTCCATGTCAAATTATACTTTTTTTACTTCCTAGAAAGTGATGTATGTATTATAAAGGTACTTGTACATAAAGGAACATAAATGTTCGTAAATGTGGCTGGAAGCAAGATCGCGTTCATTAGGCGAGTCATCATGAAATAGGAAATTTTCTGAAGCTTGCGTTTGTCCTATTATATTAAGCCAGGGTTTTTTTATCAGCCAGCGTCTTGTTTTGTAAAAGAAGATGGTATGGTCGATACTAAGATCGAAATTATTTGGGGGTGCAGAACTATAATCACATTTATTTTCGTGTGGATCACACTATTGACTAATGTTTTTTTTGTAATTTAAATAATTATTCATTTAAGATTTTTTCCATTAATTTCTAAGAGGATTTATTTTTTTTATTATTTTATTTGTTTAAGCGTAATAAATGTAATTCAGTTGCAATGAGTATGTACAACTATGAAAAGGTAGATCTTTCAAACGTACTACGACAAAAGAAAACAAATAAAATTGTGAGAAGAATTTCGCCAATAGAACTAAGAACTCGAAGTTTATTTCCTACAATTGTAACTGCCGTTACATAAGAGACATTTGGTACTGCATCTGGAGAGTTAACAAGCTGTATTGGGTATAGTGTCATGGTACAACCCACATTACATATCTTTCTTAATGTCTGCTTTGTGCTAAATATGGAGCAACATATTTTATTTCTTATTCAAACTGCAGATCAAATGTTTCTAACATTTATTTAACAGTTTTCCAGACGATGTGCCAATAGTACCTTTAGAATTCTTGTCCGATACACCCTTAACTGCATCAGATTTGTGTTCAGACCCTAATTTAGGCTTACACGAGGTTGAGCCAGATTCGTGGACACCTCATGTAGGAAAGGAAATATCGCGCAAACTCAAAGAGAAAGAAGTTAAACGACAAGAACATATTTACGAATTTATATTAACCGAAAAACATCATTGCATGACCTTACTTATGATGCAAAAGGTAAGCCGCGCTCGAGAGTGTAGCCCTTCTCATTCTGTCTTACAGATTTTCGTAGACGGATTACAAAAATATTTTAGTTTAGGACCAAATTTAGATAGGATGTTTCCGCGATTAGTCGATCTGACAGAATTGCATTTAGGATTTCTCTTACGGTTACGACAACGTCAAAGAGAAGCTCCTGTTGTATCATCTATCGCCGACATACTGTTAGAAGAATTCTCGACTAGTCGCGCTGTCAAATTAAAATCTGCCTACGGTGAGTTAAGTTAATGTTGGGAGAGTTAAATTAATGTGCGAATTATTCGCAGGAGAATTTTGCAGTCGGCATAGGGATGCTGTGGAAATATATAAAACTTATTTATCTAACGACGATCGTTTCGGTCAGTTTATTCGACATTGTCAAAATAATCCTCTACTGAAAAAGAAGGGAATTCCGGAATGCATTCTATTTGTAACTCAAAGGTTAACAAAGTACCCTTTATTAATAGAGCCACTTATTAAAACCAGTAAAGAGAATCAATACGAACAAGAGCAACTGCAGAGAGCGCTGGCGTTAGTTAAGGAAATTTTGATTGAGGTCGATTCACAAGTGGCAGAAAAAGAGAAAGAGGATCGCAAATTAGAAATTTATCACAGAATTGACGCCAAATCGTACACTACGCATCGAGGATACAAGTTTAAAAAGTCCGATATTTTGCAGGGCAATCGGTCTTTGCGATTCGAAGGCGTCGCCATGCTAATGCAGGGAAGAGGGAAAATGCAAGTTGTTATGGTTATTGTTTTATCCGACGTATTATTTTTCCTTCAAGAAAGTTCTCATAATAAATATACATTTTTTACGCCCGATAATAAGGTGTGTATAGAACCGCCAATCTTTTCATCAAGTCGGTTTCAAACAAAATTTTAGGCTGGTGTTATATCTTTACAAAAATTGTTGGTGCGAGAAAAAGCGGGGCAAGAATCCAGGGGTATTTACTTGATCTCGTCAAATCCGGCAGATCCCGAAATGTTCGAGTTAAAGGTTCACAAACCTAAAGATAAGCAAGTTTGGATTCAAGCGATTAGGTAGGTGTTATTTGCACTTATTTGCAACCAAACTGAGCCTGACATTGCAGAGGTGCAGTACAGAATTGCCCAGAGGAAGACGAGGACAGTTTTACCATAACATCTGAAGAAAAACAAACCTTATTAAACGCAAAACAAAATCAAATCAGACATTTTGTCGGTATGTTCAATTACCTTCTTATCTTTGTTTATGTGACATAACCTGGCATGTGTAAAAGATATTAAGAATTAACAATCCATCTTATCATCATGAATTCTGTATAGTGTTGGTTTACTTTACTTCGGACCCAATTAGTATTGTATTATGATACGTATTTGCTCTGTTTTAACAGATGCAGAGTCAGATATCGAAGGTAATTTGCCATCTTATCCACTTGCATGTGTATCACGGGTAGTGGCACTCTTTCTAATGCACTTTTCTGTATTCAGTTTTTATAAAGCATGATTGGTAAAGTTCATTTATTAGTTAGAATTGCGGATTGATTTATATTATGCACTCGTTTAGTTACGTGATTCAGAAACGTAGGACTGGACGGGCTAATTTTATTTTAGTTTCCGATTTGTACACTGAATTTTTGAGTAATGCGGAAATAAAACAAAAATTATTTAGCTAGTCCTTTTACGCTTTTGTAGATAAAGGGAAGATAGAAATACTAACTTGAAATTTCTACTTTACATCTATGGAGTATCGGTGCTTCCTTTTCGTGGAATGTCAATATATAATTGCAACGAATTTCTGTTACTGCATTCACCTGTGTGCTTACTAACTGTTTTCTAGGGTTACTACGGCAGAAGGATGTGGAACATGCTTTGCTGTTAGAAGAGAAGATGTCCATACAGTTGCGATTATTAGCTGCGGCAGGACTGGAGCCACCATCGCCTCCTTCTTATCGCCATTTAGTAGGCGAACATGTTGACACTAATCAAGTGTGGAAAGAGGTTTTAACAGCTGTACAGGTCTGTAATATAAATTAGTATTATGTACTCTTATGTTGATATCTAACACTGTTTTAACCATATTCGGTGAATACCGTGAGTGGGCACCATTTTTTCTGGTTGAATTTGCCCGAGCCATCAAGTACGCATGCTTCATTTGAAACATAATAAATAATAAACATTTAATTGAACATACAATTAGAAAAGGTTACATGATAACCTCAATGATAACAGATATTATTTATTATTAATCTTAAAGACATTACCTACTCCACTAAATTCCCATATCCCAACCCAGGGTTGCCAGATTGCGTATGGTCGTCTGCCGGACATAGGCTGCATGAGAAACATAAATCCACAGACATTGCGAACCCCCCAATGGTTTTTAATCCCCCAGTAACAACTTGTCCAAATGTAAGAATTTTTTTATTTCAAATTGGTATAAGTCTATAAGTAAACAAAACAAACTATACATTCTTGCAATGTAAGTAATAGAAGGGTAAATACAGTGCACTTAATTTAATAAATGAAACATAAACATCAACATCGCAAACAAATAGTCAAACTGGACTACTAACTCCAAAATCGCAACGCAATGGTGTTGATTCAACAGGAATCACATACTCGCAGACCGACAGGCGGCAGACGAGTAGAATTTCAGCGCTCATTAGGTGGTAACATTTCCTTTTGAAAGCAAGATCTCTACGAAAGTTTTTATTTGTGATTTTGTCATCATATTTAAAAATTAAGGTGTTATTAGGTGCTGAAAAAGGAATCGTTTGACCTATTTGAAAAGTATTAAACTGAAATTTATTGTTCTGCCGGAGTTATAGTTATAGTAAAGCAATGTTTCGCTACAAGCGGCGCTACAAACGCTTCAAAAACCCCTCGTGAGAAGGGGTCTAACTATCTCACCACTGCGTTCTTAGTAGTCAAACTCTTCACATTTGTAGGACAGCGATACTCCAGTATTGTGCGTATTTTTTATTTTTGAATACCAGTCTCGCTATTTGAGTTTTTAGCGCAATTTTGAAAAAAATACACTACTATATTCGTTATGGCTGGCTGTCCGGCTGAGATCTCAGCAATAGCTAGAGACTTCAAATTTTACTAAAAGCTCTCTGCTATAGTTTAGATGTGCAGGCTCTGTTTTGAGTTAGATTACTCATGAGATAAGATAATTTTAAACTTCACTAATAAAACACTGATCGGTATTACAAGAAATGCGCTTTCCTGATTTACAACTTGTTTTATCTTTTGCGCGTTTAAGTACACTAAAGCCTGACAATCTATAAACCTCAACACTAGGAAATTTCGCAATTTATCCACACAGTATACTATCACCAGCAGTTCCAACTTCTACAAGTGATAATTTTTCTCGATTTCACTTGTCTTTTTGCTGACGTAGTATGCGGCATGCAAATCTTTTTTGCAATCAGCCTGCATCGATATACCCGTTAGTCCTGTGGATCTTGCATGCATCTGTAAACAACGCGCTCACGTTTGCGTTTCGATCGTTTAACCTCAAGATCTGTTGACTCACTAGCGCCCTCTTCAGATTCTTGAAGGTTTCATCCTCCTGAGGGGTCGGTTTAAACTTTATTACTTTCGGGGTTAGATCGCTTAAATATCTCGCTCTGGTGGCATACTTTAGAATATGAGGTCAATCCTAAGAAACGGCGCACTTCATGGACGTTTGTCGGTGGAGGAAAATCTGTTATCGTGCTCTTTTTATTATATCCTGGTTACACACCGTTCTCACTGATTGTATTTCCTAAATAATCCATTTCTTTTTGACCAAAATGGCACTTTCACAGTTTTAATGTAAGTTTGGCTCTATGCAAGGTCTCAAACATGAGATGCAGTCTCTGCATTATGGCCTCCCAATCACGCACTGGAATCATTATATCGTCCAAATAGGACATCGTCGTTATCTCTTTAGGAAAATTTATCACATCCTGCTTCTGAATCGCTCTCAATCAAACACATAACTCGAAACTCCCTACGACGGCGCTGTACAGACAACTTTATCATTAGCATATTTATTTGCAGGAGGTAAGCCATCTGGCCAGTTCACTGTACACAACAGGAACAAATCTTTCAAGAAGTGTAAGTTCGGCAGGTGAACACCAAAGTGAGACGTACACCTCGCCTATTTTACCTAAACGTGCTGAAACATTTGGCGGTTTCGATAACTCCATACAAAGTGGCATTAAACTGTTAGGAAAAAAATTGCAATCTTCGGGAGGGACGCCCACTTTAAGCCCCGATATTGAAAATCTGAAACCTGGGGATAGCAAACTATTTGTAAGTAATACCGCGCTTTAGTTTTGAATCTTAACTTTTGAGTTTAGGAAAAGTTACCGTGGCGAAATTGCCAGATATCTATAGGTCCCACTCTAACCAATGGAAATGTACCAGATCTACAGCCATGTGCACCACCTGATATACCAGCGCTATTATCGCTTGGTAAAGAGCAGCAATATGCGGCGGTTCAATTATCACATTATGTTTACACGTTATTGTGTATAATATCACAGTTGATGACTAGTAACGAAAGGTAAGTGCTCAAAAGTAGGATCTTTACTGATTTCTGCTTGTCGCATAGCCTTCAAACACATTTGTTAATGGCGAAAGGCGGTGGAGATTCTGGAAAGCAATATCGTCACAACCAGCAATTGGAAGAGCTGAGAAATTTGCAAGATAAACTTAGTGTCGAAAAAGCTGCCTGGACAATGGTGAAGGAACAAGAAAGTAAGGAGTTAGACGAAAAGAAAGCGGAATTGTTGAAATTACAAGAGCAAATCCGCGTGGAGCAATCCGACATCACCCAGCAACGCGAACAGTTGTACAGGAAAATGGAAATATTAACCAGTCAGGGATTACTAATTTCTCCCAACGTTGCCTTACCTGTCACCGGCCAGCCGGAGGACAGTAGCAATCAAAGTTCCGAGGAGAGTAGTCCCTCACAGTCGGAAGGTTCGGCGGGTGTTAGCGGTACACAGCACAGTACCGGTACGGAACGAAGAAAAGATTCAAAATGGATTAAGGGAAACTCCAAATCACAACTACCTCAGCATTTAATAAGTGCAACAAATCAACAGAAAGCCTCTCAGAATGTACACGTTAAGCAACAACTTCCTCTTAAGTTAGCTTCAAGATTAAGTTCGGGTAATGCGCCTTCCACGATCTCTGCATCAGTGCCACAACAAATGCTGCCTTTAAAGTTAAGTCAAGATGAAAAAGTAAGGCGGACAAGTACAACAGGGTATCAGAGGCTAGGTTCGGGAAGCCGGAGTCCCACTTCTGGTGAATCGGTAAGTGTTTTTTTTTATTATGTCCTCTTTGGCAGTCTCGTTAACAGTATAGCTTTTTGAAACATTTTAGAACTTTAATCAAATATACATTGACCATTGATAAATTTCGACACATAATTTGAGAAGAGTCCTTGTAACGGCTTAGCTATATATACAAACATTTGCAAGGGTCAACTACAGCACTGCCAAAAACTTTAATGTGACAATCTTTACTTCACCCACGCCTAGCTCAGTAATAAAAATGTCTTTATATCCCTTACCTTGCTGAAGTTTGACTCTTTATTTCCTGACAAAACCTGAAACTCAATGTCTAATGCAAAAAACTGCAAAAAATTGCAAACCTTATCTTGTGATCACGCGATCGCTCCAAAATTGATAAAACTTCACACAACTAACTTCACTCGGAATTCAAATTGCGCATATCTAACGTAGTACTTGACCGGTTACGAAGATTAGCTTAAAAATATCCGAAAATAAAGATCTCACGTACAAATAGTGCTACTAACTGTTACAAAGTCTATCCTTGTCTGCCTAAAACCCCCTTATTCCGGTTTCTCTTCGCTTACGTCGTAATGCACACTTTTATCGAAAACGTACATGTTATTATCGCCAGACATACTTTCGTTCCTGTTAGCTATGAAGCGGTACATGTGTATTTTGCTATCCTGGAATAAAGATTAAAAAAAAAACTTTAATTCTAAAGCGAGCACGCTGTATCTCTTATAGTCACATAGACTCCAAACTGCCATAGAGGATCGCGCTATGTGAGCACTGGTGCATAACTGTATTTATTAATTAGACACCAACCACGCCACACTCCCATAGTCGTACAGGATCAAGTCCGGCTTTAATGCAGGCTTCATCCCCATGCGGAACACCTCCACCAATGCACCCTCAAGCCATATCCCACAATAAAGCCGCACGTACGCATACATATCCAAAGCTACCCGACAAGTTTAAGGTACGTAACGAACAGCAATCGCCCGCTGACGAAGAGGTGATATATTTTTGACGGTCATGGGGCAAACGGTGTTTTTTCTTTCACAAGCTAATTAATACAAAAGTCTAGGTTCACAAGATTGCCTGTCAAGCCAGGGATCGACTTGATAATAGCAAATAAAACTTTAGAGAGACAAAGTATTCAATGTCTACTATACAATAACTGTGATTCATATTTTAACTCTTGTACAGAGGACTTTTAATTTAAGGTAAACTGGATGTTATTTTAATTACGGAAGAAGATTTTGGTACCAAATAGCTTTGTTTTTAAACGAGAACATCCAGAAAACCTGCTTATTTTATTAACAGTACCTATTGTTATGCTTAATTTATTTTTTTTCTGTCTTCCGCTGTATAGTATCAACCAAATTTCAGCTAAAACCTTATACTCAATCATGTGACAATACGGTAGTAATTTGTAAGAGATACTTTAGCTGTTTTTAATAGTTTCCAACTGTATACGGTTGTCGGTTTTTAAAATTTACACTCATAAGACTTTCCCGTCTATTTGTAAATAGCCTTAATTTTACTATTTTATTATAACAATACAATTTTACCTGCATTTATTTTGTTTACACATCTTGATGATTTTAATGTGGTAGTTTACCATCTATATGTGGTTGTTATTCATTGTTGAGTAGATATGTACTTAGTTTAAAATCTATATAAGTATATGAATTGTATATTGATGATATTCTTAAAATATTGTTCCTTTAAAAATGGTTGAAAACGTACTCAGGATGCTACTGTTATTTATTCGGATTAAATTAGCGACAAAAGAAATTCAATAATCAAATTTACTGCGTATTACAGAATTGCAAGAAGTAGTCTGATAACATACTGTGGCATACCTGATGTATGTACGATTATAATGGAACATTCTAAGGGCCTACCGCATTTGTCTTTCCACAAGTGTGTTAAGTAGTTGAAAAGTAATATTTTTATAAATAAATATTCACTTCTCTTTAATAATTGGTGTAGTTATCAGTATTCTTCCAAATTGTGATGGCGATTAATTCCATTTTGATTGAATTATTTTAATGGCAGAAAAGTGACGAATAAAAGAGTCAGCACAATTGTAAAGCTCAGTATTGTGCCAAGTTAGTCTCAACTTTATTTTTAATTTAGGAGTATAAATTTTAAATATTAATTTAAATAATATAGTAATAATTAAAGTTTATATCCAGATGCGACTGATATTCACAAAATAATAAATCTTGCCTTCGAATGTATTTTTTCCAAAGTACGATATATACAATGTGTCTACGAATACAGTCGACAATTAGATAATCTATGGTTGTTGAAATTTGTGAATGCATTGTAGACATAGTCATTATTGTGTCTTCTACTATTAAGTAGTATTAACGTTGTACATAGATTAAAAGTAATTATATACTAGTTGAAAATATAACAAAGTTATTTATTATAAAATATAATTAAAGGTGGTCGTTAAGATATTATGTAATGGTAGCATTATTATTTATGTGTATGTAATTTATTATAAGTTTAATTTTATATGTTTAATAAACATTCCAAAACTATCCTAACCTGAAGTGTTTTTGGCAATTTTTAAAATGCAATAATAATTTATATTCATTCAACTATTTTATAAAATTTAATGATGTAAATATTAATTTATATTTATTGTACATAGATTTTATTAAAATGTGTAATCTTAGCTTTTACAGTCGTTTCTTATAAAAGAAATTTAGGAAACTGAACAAACCAAAACATTGCACTGTTATTTTCAAAAACTACCATTCACACAAATCCTGTTTAAAGTCTAAACAATCGGTAGTAGAATTTCGAATTATTTGGTCCCATCCAACACTAATTTTAATTTTCCTTCTTTTAAAATCTTAAAACTGAATACTGAAGTTCAGTTTATCTTATCACTTCCAATTTTTAAGTTTGATTAAAAATGAGCGCCAAGCGAGTTCTAATTTTGGTGTGTCTGGCGCTTAGCAGGATATAAATACAACCCCACATACCTGGCAAATTTTTTATTCAAAATATTTATGCACGAGTTGGTGATGTTCATGCACAAGAATGAAAAAAGTGTACTTAACTCTTAGGTTGTACGCTAACTATTTACACTACAGTAACACGGCAAGTTTTAAAAATGGCACCGGAATGGCTACTAAACTAAACAGATGCTGCTTAAATTTGAAATCGAGCCATATTGTTCTGACTTACATTCAAATTCAAAATGCGGTAATACAATTTTTAACTTTATTGAAGCTAAAACATGGTACAGTTCTTCACAAAGCACCTATTAATAGATAGTAAAATATTCAAAATCATTCTACAAAAATACACAACTCGAATTAAGTTTATCAGCATAGGTAACTGCCTTTAAGAGAGATAATACTATTAAAGCACGTAATTTAAAAGTACGTTAATTTTCAGCTTGAGCACCTAAATCTTGAAACACTTGAAACACAGTAACGACATGGGACGTGTCATCAAACTTGCACGAGACGTACAATTCAGCTATTCGAAAAACATAGTCACTATTTCCAACTCTTTCCCTTAAGTATACAGAACGAGGGTCCTCTTGTAATATATTTTTTATAATATTCTTCTTTTGTTCTCCCTGCAAGCACAATCATAAGCAAAATGTGCATTAAAGATGAATCCTACCTCATTGCCTAATTGTTGCAACTGAACCAAAGCCCTCCGTTTGAAGTAGACTGTTAATGTTGAAATGGGAGGTTGATCTATCCAAGTTGGTACGCGCACTTGTTGAGGAGAGCTTACGCTTGCAGATGCATACTGATGAGGTGTCTCCTCCTCTTCGCCATCAGGGGCCTCTCGTTCTCCTATTCTGGATGCAGACCTAACAGTTACATATTAATTAAGTGTGATATTTTATAATTATTAAATGCCACTAGCGCTACAATGTACAGGATGTTCCAAAAAATACCAACGCAATACTTGACACACTGTACAAAATGTTTAATGCAAATAATAAGAATTGGTCGCTTGCAATTGAATTTTGTCTAATTTAGAATTTGGTTGTACCTAAAGATCTGCCCTTTAATAATTACCTTGACTCGTGGTAGGAATCTTCCAAGTTGCGATTTACAATAGGATTTGAAGAAGTGCCCCCAATGAGTGGTTGATCTCGCTCCCCGTTCTCCTGGCCGTCCATCAGTCTTACACTATCAGTTTCGTGCTGGGACTCCGTCAAGCTGAGTGTAGAGATATCTATTTCAGACTGGAAAGGATCCGAGGGATTGTCATATTGAGGTATGTAGGGCTTTATATCTAAAACAGGCGTTTGATCGATCATATCGACACCACTGAAATAAATATTGTTGTCTGTAATGTGGTCTATTTTTACTAACGATAAACCGATCGGACATGGTCTATGTGGGGATCTTGTGGCGAATACCCCTGTCCTTATGCCGTTTAATCTCGGTGGTGACACCTTTGCTCGTGTGTGAGTGGCGTCGTTCTTGTGGAAGTGAAACAATATCCTAAACGGGTAGACTTTACTTTTAATACACCAGTATAGATGATGAGCTTACCACATGTGCGAATATTCTTGCAATCCATCTAGAGCGTGAGAGGGATTTGTAAAGACATCATTAAGAGTTAGTTTAGCCGTTGTGTCTGAACAGATTCCTGGCTGTCGAGGGGTTCCCCGTTTTTCAGGAAAGTGAGTGTGTATCGTTCCAATGTATTGTAGCCCTAAGTCGTAGTTTACAACGGGGGCTGGTGTGGCAGCTGCTTCAAGTTGCCGATGTTTGCACTTATCACAGCGCCAGTTCTCCAGCTGCCTCCTGATTTCATCGCAGTCTTTGCGGTATGTGTGGTTCAATGTTTTCAATTGTTGTCTTGAATGAAATGAGGTTAGATTAACCAAAACAATAACAATGTTTCACCTGAGATTATTTATTTCGCTTCTAGCCGTTGATAATTGGGTTTTTAATTGGATCACGTCGTCTGAATTGCTTATGTTGGTCATTTTCCTTACAAACTTGGAAAAGTAGCTTTTACTTCAACTTCCATAATTATTAGTAGTTACCGTACCGGATGACTTGCGCTGAATTGGCCAATCAAAACATAGTAGTCCCAAATATATGGTCCAATCCCACTTGCACCTAAATCTAAACTTGACTCTCACAATCCATGATCTTTTTGAAATTTTGCTTTGAGGTGGAGGGAGACATCCTTCGCTGATGTGAGGCTGTCTGCGGATAAAGATCGGAAGACCTGGGCGAAGCCAAAATAGCTCCTCAACAGATCAGGAAGTTTATAATTTTGTATTGTCTGTTGTATGTCTGTCTGTCCGCCTGTCTGTCTATCAGTGTGCACAATAACATTGTTTAGAAACGTCGGATCGCTTTGAAAATTGGCACTCATGCTCTAAAGGATGTAAGAAAGGCGAAAGACGAATTAAAAAAATTGCGCATGCACCACCAAGCGTTGCTAACTGCGCAATCCACTGCGCCGCCTCGCACACCCGGCGAGCAATACAATCACCTAGCGGTATGATATATACTTTACGACTTATACCTACCAAAACACAACAAATATTTCACCAGAATTGGTCGATCCGCTTCGGAGGAGTGTGATAACACTTTAAGGTAATTAAGATTTATTTGATTAATCGTTTGTTGCGCGAAAATTCTACTTTGGCCCTGAGTGCCTATTTCTCTTTGATAGATTAATTTGATTGAATAAATTTTGTTTCATCTGTAAATGTTCTATGTTGTGTTTAACCGATCCCAAACTACAACTGAGATAAGAGTTCTCATGATAAATTTGTCTGTTGGTGTCCAGGGTTGTGCCAGGTAATTAAAATTTGTATTATAATTCTTTGGTTTTGTGGAGGCAGTTAAGGGTGCTGAGTTTTCTCAATTTAATAAAATCCTCCTGTCGAGATTTTAGTAGCGGATACTGAACTTGCCCTAGAAAAATTATAATTATTCCGTATAAAAGTGGGTAACTGTGTTTGGTCGAACTAGCTGGACCAAATTTGATAAAACAAAAGTATAGTCTAGTGCCTTAACTTTGTGTATTTTTTAGTTTGCCTTTGCCTCATAATTTGTTTATTTACTGTAAATAATGTACCAAAGTTTGAAATATGGATTTTCAATCGCAACCACCAACGCATGTGCCTTTGGTGGGAGTCAAGTTTGCCTTTAGTTAGATAGAAGTTTCGAAAATCATAAAGCCAGCAAAATGCCATTTCATTTCTGTTTAAATAAATGTAACAATTATTTAAAACGGGCTTGCGGCTACCTTGTGTGTAACTATATTAAAAAGGTGACGGCAAACAACGGGAATCTGTTTGATACAATCTAATGACTAAACCTACATATACTTGGGTTAATAATGTACTAATGACAGGCATTTATGTGAAATAAATAATAATAAGAAACAGTATTTTTGATAAACAAATTTAAACGCGTGCATAATGGCAAAATTGCGAAAGCTACCGAACATAGACGAAGCCAAAGTTTTCGACCAATCAAATCGCGTCTATAATCATATTTTGCTGTCCAGTTTAACTCGACTCGCGCCAAAGGCAGGTTGCGGCAAATTTTAAATCGGTTGCGGTACATTTACGTAAAAAGTTTATTCATTGCGAATTTTGTACGCGAACGAAGTTACGTGGCCGAAAATATGAAACTATAGCGGAAAGTGTGTGATAAGTGCTTGAAATGTGTAACATTTTTTTAGAACCGGACACATTTTAGTGCTACTGTTAAAAGATGGCCCAGCACATAAAATGAAGACATCAACTTTGTCTTTATTTCTGTTCTTCTTCTTACAAAGTGAGTAATTTATTTTTATTTTCGCAGTTAAGCCGTTTAATCAGAATTTTGGAATTTGATAAACACGTTTATGTAAAACTGTGCGCTATGACCCTCTGCAATAAGTGCATTTTTGCGTGTTACTGTTGATAAAGGGAAAGTTTGAATCTCATTGTGACGTCGGAGGCGGTACCTGTTCTCAATTAATATCTGGCCTTAACTGATAACACTTGCAAGTCTGCATGTGTTCGTTTAAATATTGAATTTCCCATCTGCAGTGATTTATAATATTTATCTGATTCATTTCGTTAAAAATTAAAACAAAGGCGGCTGCCCCGACTCTAAATTTACACTTCCTCTTATAACATCAGTCTTTTCAAACACAAAAATTTATTACAATAGGAGGAACTATTCGGGTTCTCCATACCAAACCATTTTTACGACAGTCGCGAAGAGATTTTGGTGTCTATGAAAAAAGCAATGACAACTGCAAAAAAAAACATTTTTCTCTTTTACTTATTTTATGTGTCTTTTTCACACGTTTTTTCACTGAACAAATATAACTTTTTCTAACATGTCCATCATACAGTACTTATTGAGCCATACTACCTACATATTTCAGGTATAAAACCGAACATTTATTTGAACAGCATACTACCTAAGATCAATCACCAAAATAATTACTTAAAAATTTGAACAACTACTTATTTCTAATATAAAATTGGCATAGGTAGCGGATATTGGATGGTAATTGCTTTGGACAAATTATTGTTGTCAATAACGTTTTGTTACGTTTCAATTTTATTGTTCAAATTGCCTTCAACGTAAAACCTCGACGCCTTCCATCCATCGTGGCGTTTGATTGAGGTAAAATCGCCTCTTGCGTTCTCCAAAAGCGTAATTGATCTCCTTCCGAAGCAGTGGGCAGTGTAATCTTTCTACATTAGTTTTCCAAACCATTTCGCAATTACGTTCCTGTTTTGTTAATTACATGTTGATTTACACATTTTCCAATTATTATATGGTATGAAACAAGTAGTATCCTTGGGGGTGAAACATGTTTTCCATAGGTATAGGTATATTGAACGTTCGTTCACAATACGCTTTTGAGTATTTTGAGAATTAACGCAGATCTTCATAACAGCGTAATACGTTTCGAAGTGTACGGAGGTGTTATGAGCAATTAAGTTAGTTGTTTACTTACAAATCCTGCGCATATATTATTAATGTGATGACGCTTGTTAATGCCAAAGCCATGCCGGTATGTGTTTGTGGAAAGAATACCTATAAGCAAATATGACGACTGAATCGCATGCAAGGACAAAGGCGGAAAGCTTTTGCTTCCACTTTTTCCCCTGCGTAGATTGGAATTTGTTAGATTTTACGGAACTTCAGCAAAAAGGATTCACCTCTTTGTCTGCTGGGATTGAGAGTCAAACTCAGTACTTTTATATCTAACGCATTGTTAACTTTTCCGTGTATCTATATATTTGAACTGTTGAAATTTGTTAAATGCAATATTAACCAATTTCCCTCTTTAAATACTTACCATAACTATAATACTAGACGAGGTATCGAATTGTCGTATACGCAACATCGAATAGAACAATTTAAAATGAATCCCTATTATGCTGGTGCGGTTTTATATAACAAATTACCGCTGAATCTTAGAAATTTTCCGTTCAGGCGTTTTAGTTTAACACTCAAAAAAATTTTAACTGTAAATTGTTTCTATAGTGTTAATGAATTTATGTCTTATGTTAATATTGATTTAGAACCTTAAATTTTGTTGTAGTTGTATGTATAATCATTTTGTTTGGCCTTTGACTTGTCCTATATCCGTTTAGGATCTTTTGGATAAATATATTATTATTATTATTATTATTATTATTATAAACGTTTCAATCCAAAATAAGAGGGCATCAGTAAGTAAGTAAATATAATTCATTATCCGACCGAGGCAGGCTCGTAGCTAGGGTTAGAGTTCAGGGGGTGCCAACACAAAATTCAGGGGTGCTATTTACATGTCGTATGCAATAAAATATAAGCAAGTAATAAACGGTGTTATGTTCAACAAGGTATAACTGCATCTTTTCATTTTGCCGAGTATTTTTCAGTCCGTTAAAAATTCGAATGAGACGAAAAAAGGTTAATTTTACGCCTAGAAATAAAAACCAAACTCCGTTAGGTAGGAGTTGTGCGCGTTTGCAAGATCTTTCCGACGACACCGATTTGAAAACAATCGGACCAAAACTGTAGAAGAAAAAATTGAAAAATCACCAGCCCGCTAGGCAGTCAGCTGGCCCGCCAAAAAAGTGAGACTAAAAGTTATCTTTTTACAAATAAATTTGCAAAAATGCACCAAAAAATCATTTTCGGAAGAAAAGTGGAGGAATTGTAAATAAACTGTATAATGTGTTGCCTAAGGTATAGGATTTCCGATATAAAGACGAAATAATTATAATGTATGATGGACTGCCCTCTATAAATTTTTACAGTGAGTGATTGATTCAGGGCTCAGGCCACAGTATATCCTTTTTGATATGGAGATACCATAGAATGGTCACTCGACTTGACCCTTGGTTTTTTTTTTATTTGGGGCATTTTATAGCGATAGTGTACAAGACACCACCTGTCAATATTCAAGAGCTAAGACTCAGAATAACAAGTGGTTCGTTTTAAAATAAAAGCCCTTTATGAACACAGAAATAGATTCTTTAGATAAACAGAATTTGTTCTCTACATATCGTGTATTAAATTAATAAATTATCTCGTAAATTATATAATGTCCCGAAGGAGTAGAGTAAGCAGGATTTTTTTCGGGAGGGGCTGAAACTCGAGAATTAAGACCAAAGTATGTAAATTTTCACGTATGTCGTACACATTCGCAAGATCAAGTAAGCGAAGGAAAGAGTAAGGTACTTTTTCCAGCAACTGCAACATTTTTATTGTCGCTTGGCATTTAAATATAATTATACCATGACTGACGACTTACGGGATGTGCCGCTGAGTAGTTAAGTCGATTATTTCGGGGGGGGGGGGGGGCTGTAACCCCTTCAGCCCCCCCTTTGCGTACGCCAGTGTCGAAGAAAAACAATTTATGAGCTTCCTACTATCAGAGACTTGACCTTTGAGTAACAATAAAATTGGTGTTCTAGTATCCAATTACAATTGTATTTTTGAGAAAGGATAGTAGGGATCTTTACGGGGCTAACATTTTAATTTTCAAATTACAGGCGAGACCTCCATATAGCACGTTAGCCAAGAGCTGATAAGCATGATTCACTTTTGAGTC